GTTTGTCGTTTTCCCCCAGGTGATCAATAGGGCTAAGATTCCCAAGACTTCTTTGCCTCTTGCCATAGAAGCCATAGAGTGAGCCAAAAACTGCTATCAATCGGTCGCTTCCCAAGCCCATTTTATCAAACACTAATTTAAAAAAGATGTCACAGAGCTTTAGTATCAATGAGGATGCTACCAATCTGGTAGTTGCTTACTAAGGCAGTAATGACTATACCATCATCATAAGTATTTCTCTTACAGGGCAAATCTGCGTTAGTGAAAGTGATGGGGGGATGTGAGCTGTGTTTTAGGGCAAAGGCGGCTGTGCACATTTCTTATGACTGAAGCCTCTTATGGCTGGTTCGGTGGGATGATTCTCCATCTCCTCCGAAAATGGTTGGGGAAATGGTTGGGACTATCTCAGCGATGTGAATTGCATGCGCTCGGACAGACTCATCCGAAATTTCTTCTACTGGAGTTTTCCCTACCGCTGGGTGGTTGCTCCTGATGCCACAAGCTCCTTTAGTTTTTCAACCTTGATCAGCTCCTCGATCAGAATCTGAAGGTGTCGACAATACTCTGTATCGTGGTCGTGATATGATGGTATGTGCCCTAAATATAAGCTCTGATCCTTGGGCCCAAATATAAGCTCCGATCTTTATTGGGGGAGCTCTCTTGAACTACTCCTTATTGTGAATGGTTTCTGCAATCTCGACCATTGATGCCGTCAATGGGATTGTCTTGGGCGCCTCATGATGAGGCAGGGGGGGCCCCCTATATCACTGCTCTGACAGAAGCGGGTCTAGAGTTGTATTCTTTGATCGATATGTGGTTGTTGGTCAGCTTGAACAATTTGGTTGAGGTCTTCAGTCGCTGCAGGCTTAAAGTGTGCCATAACGAACTTTCCATCAGCCCTTAGGACATGACAACATATGCCACTGCAAGTTCTAGATTCCGCACTTCCAACATCTTCTGTATTCATGTAACAAACGAGCAGAGACCCTCATTCCGCCCTACCCTATTTGTAGAAGAGCTTGTGAACTTTTTTAGGGCTTCTTGGCGCTCGCGAACCATTTCACAAAAATCCTTTTGAAGTCTGCGAATGTGGTGATCACCCATGCAATCCGTTGAATCAATTGAGGGTCGACTCCCTCAGCATGGTAAAGAAGAGGCGGCACTTCAGTGCGTCTATGATCTTTAGCAAGCAGAAGATCGAGTCAAAAGAAGTTATGTGGTCTGCAGATCAGTCCGACCCTTGTAAGATTCCAGAGCAGGGATTTTGAATCTTTCTAAGGGCTTATCTTCAGAAATTTATCAAGAGAACGTATTTTCTAGTTGGCGGGTGCCGTAATGCACCTGAATCGTTGCCAATCCGTTAGTGTCGACTCAGCACTATCGAAGTACTGAGAATCTCTTTCCCTTTTTGAGGACATCCATCATTTGGTCTTTCAGCTTCTTGATTTACTGCCACACAAACTTCATAGTGCACTCCATATTACCGATGTATCTGTTGGGGTTTTCTTCGCTTTATACCATCTCCCTTCTTGTCCGTGGCATGATTCACTCTCGATACATCTTTTAGGATGTTGAATCCGAAATTGTCCTTGAATCACACTTAAGGAATATGGCATGGATAAGAGAAAGAGAAAGAGAAAGAGAGAGAGAGAGGGAGGGAAATGAACAGTAATGAACAATAATTTGATTTGTTGATTAGCTTTTTTTCATAAAATGATTCCCCTATTTATAGAGAAGGTTCTACAATACGTGAAATTAAATGTTTGTCATGCTTTAATTGGGACTTTATAGGATATTTTAGATATTTTATATGTACATGTTTACGACCCGACTACCCTCTAACTCGGATGGCTGAAAAGTGGGCCTTAGTTTGACAAGACATGTTTGTCCGACTGTGTTGAATTAGGGTTGCCTTTCTGCCTTTGATGGTCTTCAGATAGGCAAGACTTGACTCGATATACTTGGCTTTGACGGTCGGCTATTCTAGTCTGGCTATCAACTATCAATCCCTGAATGAGAAGTGCCTATTAGCAGAGTAAAGCTAGGCTATTAAGGAGAGTGTGAATTACTGTATCTCTGATAAATAGCTCATCCCTTGACGAGGGGGTCTTCCGGGATGCTTTGTGGATTATATTATTGCCGGTTCTTGACCTGCTGAAGAATCTCAAGGGCATCCGTGAGATGGCTTACTCTGATGAACTCTTCCCTCGAGTCGGGTTGTGGCGAGAGGCAAGTCGATGCCCTTCCTCGGCACAACTGACCCTAGTCTTTGGTTTGGGTGGTTTACTACAGGTCGACCTCCAACCCTGTTGAAGGGGTTGCATCTGGTCAAGTAGGTCCTTTGGTCTTCTGCCAGTGGACCCTCATTAATTGTATTTTTTTGTCTCCTGATTCGTTGGTTCTTCTCTAGATTCGTGCTGGTGCATTCTTGATGCACAACTACTTTATGGAATATCATTAAGGTGCTGTAACTGGGATTTAATTTTTATCAGTTAGGTGTATATTCTTATTAGAAACTTCAATTTATTTAAGTCGATGCCTTTGCTCGACTTGACTGGCCCTAGTCCTTGGTTTGGGTGGTTTACTACAGGTCGACCTCCAACCCTGTTGTAGGGGTTGCATTTGGTCAAGTAGGTCCTTTGGTCTTCTGCTAGTGAGCCCTCATTAATTGTATTTTTTTGTCTCCTGGTTCGTTGGTTCTTCTCTAGATTCGTGCTGGTGCATTCTTGATGCACAACTACTTTATGGAATATCATTAAGGTGTTATAACTGGGATTAATTTTTATCAGTTAGGTGTATATTCTTATTAGAAACTTCAATTTATTTTATATAAGATAAATTGGTGATATTTTTGATGTGATATTAAAGATTTGGGTGTATATATGTAAATTCTTAAGCACGGTTTAGGGTAAAAGGAAAGCTATATAGTTTCCATGCGCTTAACTGGCCTACGGAGTTGAAGCATGTAGTAAAATTCGCACATTTACCGTGTCGTGCTGTAATACCGCACGTTTGGTTCTCGCTCATTATAAAATAGTACT